TCTGCTGGCAGGTCCCACCCCTGTCCCCAGATCCAGCACTGTGCCCATCCCTGTCCTGTAACCATGTGCCAAGGACACTGGGGATGCAGCACCCCCTCCTACCAACTTCCATGCCTCCGCCCTAAAAATAATCTCCAAGCTGTAAAGAAACCCACCAGCACTGCAGCTACAGCGCTGGTAGGTGTCTTTACAGCCACGAGATTATTTTTAGGAATGCCTCTGGCACGTGGCTTTGGAGAGAGGAGTGTGGGGATGGGGTGGAGAGGGGGGCGCCCCTTCTCTCCCCCCTCGGAACGCAAGCGCTGCCAGCTGGCACAGTGTCAGGGCTGCTGGCTGCTAACAGAGCCCTCGCTGTTCTGGCCCTTGCCGATGCCTCCAGTCACAACCAGGAGCCAGAGAGCTCTTCCTGCAGGATGGAGCAGGGGAGAGCGGAAATCAGGGCGTTGGGGTGAGAGTTTCCCGCCTGGGGTAGGAGCAGAGCCTGAACTCCATGGGGCTGCTGGCAGGCTGAGGTGTGTAGGCCCCCCCAGCCCCAAGCGCCAGGGACTGCTGGCTCCACAGAGGACAGAGGTGACCCTTGGGTTATGGAGGGCTTTGGGCTTGGCTTTGGACACCAGCAGGGCTGCGGTCAGCTGGGTATCACCAAGGGGTTGGTGTGGTTGGATGGAGATGTGTGTTGTATCTGGCTGTGAAGATAACTGGACAATATTGGGGTTATCTCTGTGTTTGGGGTGAGCTGGGCTTAACCTTATGCCAGGGTTGCATTTGGTTTAGCCCCACATTTGAACTGTGTGACCCCATGACTGGGCTTTGCTGAGGTTGACCCTGTGTTTGAGCTGAGCTGTGGGTCAGCTCCACTCCTGATCTGTGCCGAATTTAACCCCACATTAGCGTGGCATAACCACATGTTTGAGCCTCACATTTTCACTGGGCTGGGTTCAGCCCCAGTCCTGGGCTGGGCTGAGTTTAACCACACATTTAGACTGTACTTGATTTAATTGTCCCCCTGTGCTGGGTGGAATTTAATTCTCCTTCTGGGCTGTGGGGTATAATCCAATATTTGGGTTGCCCTGAGTTAAGTCCTGCATCAGGACTGTTCTGGGTTTAGTCCTATGTTCAAACACAGGTCTCATGGAACTGCACTGGCCTTACAGGGAAAGACTCCTACTGGTTTTACTGGTTTAACTGGGGTGATTCCAGTGCACTGGGATTGCACAGGCACACGTTCATGCAGTGATGGTGGAATCAACAGTGCTGCAGGGATGGGGTGATTCCAGGGCCCTGGGCAGAGCAGCAGCCACAGGGACCTGCTCAGACCATGCCATGGCTCCTCAGAGTGAGGCATGGTGCTTCTGCAGGCCTGTCAGGTGCAGAGGGATTAGCAAGGCACGGCTCCAGAGGCACATTTCCCCACAGGGAAACAAGGAGAGGGGAATTCCTGCGGTATTCTGCATTTCAGCGTAGGACACTCTTCCTGCAGCAATCACTGGCAGACAGGAGAGTTTGTAGCATGGGGCCAGGGATGCTTCCCCAGCTCCAGGGATGCTCAGAGTGGTGCCATCTCTGGGGCATTAGAGCCTGCTTTGGGCCTCTGCCCATTGCTCTTTGCAGGTGGGTGACTCCCATCAAGGCCTGGCACAGGGTAGGCAGAGCTGCCAAGTGCTCTTGAGTTATTTGCCATATCTCTGTTGCAGCTCCTAACACCCTAGGAAGAGGTAAAGAGGCACCCCAGCTTTCTGTGCTTAGTGGGGAGCATCCCAAGTCTTCATGCTGCCATGTGCCGCCTTGAGGCACAGTGTCATCTGCTTCTGTCCCTGTCCCCATCACCCCAGCTCTGTGTGCAGCCCGCTTGCTTTGAAGAGCAACTTCAAATGAAGCAAAAAAAAAAAAAAAAAGGAAAAAAAAACAACAACAAAAACCTAAGAAAACAAAACCCAATGTGTTTCAAAGCCCTGAACACAATGGAAAGTTGGCTTCCCCCAGGAATCCATGCTGGGCTTTGCCAGGCCACAGCAGGGCATGGCACAGATCCGCTGTGCCGAGGGAGCTGTCACACCCAACGTGGGCATTGGTGCCGGTGCACATGGCCATGGTTTTGAGGGAAGTTTTGGCTTACAACACTTCACTTTGCAAGCAGGAAGGGGCTTATGTCAGGATTGCTCCCCACCACTGCCCAAAAACTTTTGCATGAGCTCAGGTGGTGCCCAGCAGAGCTGCAGGATCAAGGAGGTATGGAGAGTGAAACCTTGCATTTCTGGCTCACACCCGCGGGTGCCAGAGCCGCCTGGTCACCCTGGCCACGCCAGTGACAAGAGCATCCCATGCTGGGGAAGCAGGGTCCAGCACTGCTGCCCTTCCCGGCAGGACCAAACCACACCCCCAGGCTGAGCCGGGTCCCTCTGCCCTGGCTGTGGCAAGGGGATGGGATGTCACCCAGCCTGGGCTGGCGGCAGGCGTCTCTCTGGCCAGGATTAGCATGAGGGGAGGAAGAAAAGCTCTGATTGTTCCCTCTGTCCCGGCTCGGCTCCAGGACCACTGTGCCGGCACTCTGTGTCCCCAGAATGTGTCACTGCTGGTGCAAGCATCAAGGGATGTTTTCTTTGCCTGTGTGCCCATCTGTGGGGGTGTGGAGCCTCCAAGGAAGGTAGGCTTGGCCACTCACACGCTTGTGTTCATTTGCACACCTGTTTTTCCCTTGGCCAGGGAGGTTGGTGGCAGAAAATAAGGGGATCCTTTCTGGCCAAGCTGTCTTGTAGCACCTGGCCCCCTGCCCTGCTTCTGCACCTGGGGCACACGAGGGCTCTGGTCATCTCCGGCTCTTTGGCTCTTTCCCCTTTTGTTTTTGGCCTTTGGGCAGGCAAGAAAGGGCTTGCTCCTTCTCTCTGCAGTGATTCTGTGTCCCCAGGGATAGTTTTTGGCAGTGCTCATGTGGGTCATTTACTGAGTCAGCGAGTCTGGAGGCGCTTGGTGCTGCCTTCTCACACTGTGCTGGCAGGGGGGCCCCTCTGAGGCAGGGGAGCTCCTGGGGTGCTGGTCTGAGGATGGGGAGCTCTGCACAAAGGGTGATGAAGGGTGGAAGATGAGGACTGGCCATCAGGATGAGCAGTCTTAGGGTTAGGGACCACTAGGGTGGGGGTCTGGGTTAGTGGTCCCTGACCAGACTTAACCACCAGGGTCATTATGGAGAGGGGCTGGATACCCTCTGCAGTGTTTGAATGAAAAACCAGGGTGGTCATGAGAATAAAATTTTAAAGCTGTTTTTCTCTCTGTATATTAACACACTCTCCCTTTTTCCTGACACACACACATACACCCACTCCCCTTCCTCCTCCCCCCTGAACTATTCCTTCACTCTAGCCCACGTGGTTTCTGGAGTTATTTTTGGTCTTTGCTTTTAAGAAAAAATACACTCATTTTCGTCTTCTTCTTTTTTTCCCTTTTTTTCCATCACCAAAATATTTTACTTTCAGGCCAAATGTTCCCAGTTACTTACCAGCATAGTTTTGGCAGAGACTTTTTGACTGATATTTCTTGGGAACATTTCTAGGGTGGTTTGGTAGGAAAAGCTTATGACAGTCTCATGAAATTATTTACATTTGGGGCTTGTGTTTGAGGCTGCCTGGCATGCTCAGAGCGGGGTTGATGTGGGGTGCCACACGCCTTCCCCCCTGCAGCAGATTGCCTTGTAGCTCTTGCTTCCTTCGCCAGGCGGTTTGGTCTGTGGCCATGGACACTCAGCCACAGGAGGGGAGCTGGCTGCTGCTCTGGGGTGTCTTTGCTGGGCTGGAGCATCCCTCCCTCCACTGCCTCAGCTGTTCAACCCAGGGGGACACAGATTTATGCCTACAGATTTATGCCTGCACATTTATGCCTGCTCTTGGGGCTGGCAGGGAGCTCCCTGCCTTATGTGCCCTCAGCCCCTGCCTGCAGCTGGGAGCAGAGTGGGTGTAAATAAACAGGCATGTCCAGTTGTGAGGGGTGGGCAGGGGAGAAATCATTCATTTCTGACTGACAGAGACTGTGTGGCACTCCTGGTAGGGACAGTGTGATGCTGGCCAGGGTGGATACCCTGGGGTGATGCTTGTTGGCACAGACAGATGGGGCTGGGATGGACAGGGTGACACTGGCTGATATGTCCTGCTGATGCAGGACTCTGCAGGTGGCTCTGGATGCTTTAGGTAGTGCTGGCTGGCACAGAAAGAGTGCTGGATGGGGTGGATGTCACAGAGCACTGCTGGCTGTGGTGGGCAGGGTGATGGTGGTGGGGCAGGACAAGGCAGCACTGGCTGTGTTGCCCAGGATGGCGCTGGCTGATGTGCCCACGGTGGTGTAGGTTGGGATGGAGAGGGTGCACTGACCCTGCATCCCCTGCCCCTCTCACTGCTGATCACTGAGTGTGTGGAAGGGATTTCAGCCCCATTCTCCCCCACATGGAGCCTTACCTGGACCAGCCTCTCAGGGGATGCAGGCATGGGCAGTGAGTGATATGAGACTTGGTACAACCTGAGCTGTCACAGCCCTGCTCTTCCCAGCTCTGTGAGCCTCTTTAGATCTGATTGCTGTCACCTGCCATGTAAATACAGGCCAGAATTTCTCTTCGGTCCCATCCCACCCCAGCTGCACATGCACAGGTCTCTGGACCACCCTGGGGTTGGGAGCCAGCCAAGGCTCCCAGCACAGGATTGCAATGGCAAAGAACCCTTAATCCCCCCAACCCACACAGCCCTAAGCTCCTGGTCAGTGTTTGCCCCCTGCATCCCTGTCCCAGGCATGGGAACTGCTCAGCAGCCAGGAACAGCTGTGACTGTGGCACAGACGCTGCCAGATGTCCCAGCTGGGGTCCCGGGATTCAGTCCCTGTTCTGTCCCCAGCAGGATGGGGTGAGATGAGAGGGAAATGTAGGATCCAAGGCCCTGCAGGAATGCTGTGAGCTGTGGACGGTATCAGCTGCCCCATTGCCGGGAATAACACTCTCTCCTCCCCTTGTCTGCCTCCTGCAGATGCACAGTTCCATCCCAAGCCTGGGCAGGGTGATGGTGTTCCTCGCAGCAGCCCTGACATCAGCCTCCTTTGGTATCCCTGAAGACTGGGGAGAGGAAGGTGAGACCCCCACCAAGCACCCCCATACAGCACCCCTCCCCACGTCCTATGAGGCCCCTGAGGGCACCCCATTTCCCCCAGACAGGAGCAGACCTACCAGGACTGTGTGAAACCCAGCCCTACATCCTACAGTGATGGCCAACCTGTGTTTCTACTCATTGCCCAGCCCCAAGTGGGACGAGTCCTTACCCTGTGGTGGTACCTGCACAAAGCCAGACCCCATAGCCAGTGCCCACTGTGGGATACACCCCCAGGGGCTCCCCAGCTGCCCTCCCAGGCCGGTTGTGGGGTGGTATGGAGTGCTAACACCCATCTGGGGACGTGTGTCTCTGCAGGTGTGCAGTATGGACAGCTGGGGACAGACGTGACCCTGTCATGCCCTGGTGCCCGTGCCAGGTAAGTCTTTTCCATGCACATCAAGCGGTCTATCCAGTGGGATGGTTTACAGGGTGGGCTGGGCATCCCTGTCCTCTCGCTGAGCCCGCCTGGTGTTTCCTCCCCAGCTCAGCAGTGCGGTGGAGGCGAGCGGGCGCCGCGGCGCTGCCGGAGGGCTCGGTGATCCAGCAGGGATCGCTGGTGCTGCCCAGCGCCAGCCCGGCCCTCGGGGGCACGTACAGCTGCCACGGCGAGGACGGCAGCCTGCTGCACTCCGTGTCCCTGCGACTGGGGCGTGAGTAGCAAGCCTGGGAGCTGGGCTGCTCCAGGGGAGCGTGGTGCCTGCAGCCCTGCCAGGGCATTGCCAGAAGGGGGCTCCGTGTTGGCACTGTGTGCTGGATGGGCTGTGGGATGGGGACTCCTCACTCACTGCTGTTTTCCCCGGACCCCAGACCTGCCTGGAGTTCCCTTTGTGTCGTGCAGAGCATCTGACTATGAGAATTTCTCTTGCTCCTGGACCTCCAGTGTGGAGACCTTCCTTCCCACCAGATATATCACCACATACAGGTGAAGTGTCCCCGCAGGGCATGAAATGGGCTTGTTATGGTGTGAGCTCTGGGTCACAGCCAAGGATAACCACCAGATCCATCTGGCCATCCCACACATGCCCTGGGTTCACCTCCTGCCCCAAGGACTGTGCTGCACCCCAGAACACGTCCTGTTTTGGAGTGAGCAGAGCACCAAGCCTTTGCTTGCTTTCAGTGGGGGTCTCAGCAGCATTGGGGGGCTGGCACTTGCAGGTTCCCTCCCTGCTGACAGCTCTGCCAGCACCAGAGGGGCAATAAAAGAGAAGCAGGTCATCTGCAAGCCTCCACACTCCGGCATGCTTTAGGATGAAAGGAGCCCTGACAGCATTGTGCTTCTAATTATCCCTGCAAGCCAAATTAGCGGGCGGCTTTGAAGTCCAATGGAGCTCATAAAGCACAGCCCTGCTGAAAGCTGCAGGAGCCGAGGGCTTGGTGGGGAGGGGGCTGAGTGGAGCATCAGGGGCTCCACAGGGAGGGGGAGTGGAAGCATGGGATTTGGCAGGCTTTAGGGGGAGGGCGAAGCCAGGCTCTGGGGAGCTGCTTTTATCAGTGCCTTTGCTTCTGTGTGATGAAATCCCAGGCAGGGAAGGGTGTCCCATTTCTTTTCCCTGGGATCACCAGCTCCTGCTGCCAGGCTGTTCACTGGAAGAGCTGGACATGGTTCTGGCTCTTTCCCCCATTCTGCCACATGTGTGTACCAGCGTGGGAGTGTGAGGCTGCTTTGCAGTGTGGACTCCTGTCCCTCCTCTGGGTCATGGTGGGGCTCACTTTGTGCTGCCCCCTCATCCTAATCATCTGCTTTTCCATCTGTCTCCATGGCAGGAAGAAATCCCTGACAGGCGAAGAAAAGCGGAGGTAGGACTGACTCCCACCCTGCTCCTGCTCCCTGGGGACTGGCCCCCATTCCAAAGGCTCTGCTGCTGTCTTCAGCAGGGACCCTAAAGCAACAGCTGGGGGTCCCCATCAGGGAGCCAGCTACTTCCCAGCTACCCTGGGAGTCTGGGAGAGGGGTTTGCCTCAAGGAGAAGGGTTTGCCTCAGGGAGGGACCTTCCCAGACAGAGCATGGAGCTGGGATTAGGGTCTCTTTTGTCACGCTCAAAGGGATATGCCAGACTCTGGAAGGATGAGTGCAGCTGAGCCTGAGGGGCTAATGTGACCGTGTTCACAGGGGTGCCAGGATGAGGGAAGGGATGAGGATCGGACTCTATGTTTCAGAAGGCTTGATTTATTATTTTATGATATATATTGTATTAAAACTATACTAAAAGAAGAGAAGAAAGGATTTAATCAGAAGGCCAGCTAAGAATAGAAAAAGAATGGAATGATAACAAAAGCTTATGTCTCGGACAGAGAGTCCGAGCCAGCTGACTGTGATTGGCCATTAATTAGAAACAACTACATGAGACCAATCACAGATGCACCTGTTGCATTCCACAGCAGCAGATAATCATTGTTTACATTTTGTTCTTGAGGCCTCTTGGCTTCTCAGGAGAAAAAAATCCTAAGGAAAGGATTTTTCATAAAACATGTCTGTGACAGGCTGCCTCCTCCACACAGGGTCCTGGCATGAGGGTCTTCCATGGCACCTCCTTGTCAGCATTTGGGAACTCTGCATGGTGGGAGGGTAGGACATGTCACCAGCGTGCCTCCCTGTCTGCAGGAACAAGAACGGGCACGTGGGGCTGTGCGTGCAGGATCCGTCCCGCCCCAGCACCTGCACCGTGCACAGGTCAGAGTTCTGGAGCTCCTACCGCCTGAACATCACCGAGGTGAACCCCCTGGGCTTCAGCTACCGCCTCCTTGATGTCACCATGCAGGCCATCAGTGAGTCCCCATCCATCCATCCATCCATCCATCCATCCATCCATCCATCCCACTGTTTGTCCATCCCTGGGCAGTTACCTGTGGGGGACAGCAGGGAACCCTGTGCACGGCAGTGTGGGGTGACAAAGGCTTTCTGTCCTTTCCCACACAGTTAAGCCAGACCCTCCAGAGGGCTTGGTGGTGGAGCCCATTCCTCTGGCCCCACGGCGGCTCCATGTGAGCTGGAAGTACCCTTCCTCCTGGCCAAAGGAGCCCCACTTCCAGCTGAGGTTTCGGCTCCAGTACCGACCCATCATCCACCGTTCCTGGTCCGTGGTGAGTGTGCAAGGGAAGGCAGGGCCAGCACAGGAGCAGGGAGTGCATGGGGCCAGGGAGAGGTGTCCCTGCCTGCCCCACAGCTCCCCTCTGCTTGGCTCAGGTAGAGACGGTGAATCTGTCTGAAGTTATCACGGATGCCTTCGCCGGGCTGGAGCACGTGGTGCAAGTCAGTGCCAAAGATTTCCTGGATGCGGGGAATTGGAGCGATTGGAGTGCTGAGGCCCGGGCAACGCCAGTCAAAGGTGAGAGAGGGACAGGCTGCAGCCCGCAGTAGCCAACCACATTGTGCTATCCTTCCCCAAAGTCCCTCCAGAACTCTGAACTTCCACTCTTCAGTCGCTTCCCCATGGCACTCATTCCCGAAATATCAACCAGAGTGAGTCTCAACTCCAGGGCCACTTTAGGTTGGGAGGCAGAGCTGCAGGAGGACAAAACTCCCCAAATCTCCCAGCCCATGTCAGTCTGCAGCTGTGCTGATGCCATTTGGGGGTTGCCCCCACAGTCTTGGTACAGAGAGGGGCTTCCAAAGCACCATTAGCACCCTTGGGCTCGTGGGACCTCTGGGGCACAAAGACACCCTTCCACACCCCTCTCTGTGGGTCCCTGGGGTGCTGCAAATGCCTTTGTTGAGTGTTTCCATCCCTTCTGTCCTTCCAGACCTGGCCTCCACAGCAAGAGAAGAAACCACTACAGATGCCAGACTGGAGAGTCTGGCTGAGGAGCCCTCCCAGGCTCCCAACCCTGAGCCCATCAGTGAGTAGAGCTAGGGGGGGTGGGCAGAAGGGCCATGTGTGGTTCTGAGAGCAGTGGGAAGGGTGTCTTGCCCCATGCCCATGTGTGCTGGGCTGTGGGAGTGTCCAGATGTTTGCCATGGGATCCCCTGGGTGCTGGGGACTGTGACATCCCTCAGCTGTGACAGTCTCTCTGTCCCAGATGGCAGTGACCCCTTGGAGAAGATGGCCGTCCTGGTGTCCCTTGGGATCTTTGCCTTCTTCATCCTGGCTGCTGTTCTTGTCATCACCATCCTCATCTGGTAGGCTGGCTTTGGAGAAGGAGGGGCTGTGTGATTGCTGTCCCCATCCCATCCTGAACCCTCAGCATGAGTGCCCTGTGATCCCCCAGCCCTACTCTGGGGTCCCTGCCAAAACACACCCAGTGATGCCCTGTGGGCTGGTTTATGCTCCCCTTGCCCCTGTGCCTCACCAGTGCCTCTTCCCAGCACACCCATTTCTGCCCAGCCTGCCTGGGCTCTTTCTAACGACCCCAGATCCAAGGGACCTTTCCCTGAATCCCCTCAAGATGCTGCTCCTTCTAATATCCTCCCAAAGGCTCCTGCTGGAGAGTCTCACGCTCCAGAGTCAGCACAGACAACCTTCCATGTGCCTTTGCTCCCTGGGAATCCTGTCCCCAGGTCCCCTCTCATCCCACCCTGGGATCTCCCTGCTCTGGCTCTGCTGTCAGTCCCTGTTCCCATCCCAATCCCCTCTGGTGACCAGTTGCTGCTGTAGCCCTGGAGCTGACCCACTGGAGAGGTTAAGCCAAGCTGGGCACAGCTGGATGGAAACATAGCAGGATCCCTGGGAATCTGGGCAGTCCTGATGCTCAGGGAGGCTGCTTGGGGTCTTCAGCCCCCCAGCAATGCTCTCATCCCCAGGCTCCGGGTAAGGAAACACAGCAAGGACAAGACCAAATCCAGCTTTTTGGTTGCTGCCACCCACTTGAAGGCACTACCAAGTGAGTCAGGGTGCAGGGTGGGGAATGGGGGGGAAATGTGGGGCAGGGAACACAGGGCATGGGGCAGGTCAGTGTCTCCAGTGTCCCCCTTGACCCCCTGTCTTCTCTCTCGGCAGAAGCTCAGATCCTGTAGTGAGCCCTGGCCGATCCCTGCTCCCTGCACCCGCTTGCCCACGCGTGGGACTTGATGCCACTGCTGGCCCCCAAGGACCCCGCGCCTGCCGGGTCACCCCACAGCTGTGGACATTGCCGGAGCCCCCAGCACCCCGGGGTTGCAGGATGGATCCCAAGGAGAGAGGCTCTGCTCTCGGGAGCATTGGACTGCCTGAGCCCACCAGGAGCCAGCTGGAGTCACTTCAGGCTCAGGGTGACAGGCCAGCTCCACCTCAGAGCGCTGCTAAACCAATGGGGATAAGAGACTGAGCCAGCCCCACTGCACTGCCCTGTGCTGAGGGGGACCGTGGGTGTAGGCTCCGGGGGTGCCAGGCATCAGTGGGGTGCTGCTCCCTGCCTGTCACCCCCCACCAGCCGCCAGCAGGCAGAAGAGAACACCCCCTGCCCCTTCCCTCTGCCTCAACCCCCATGCTGTGGCTGGACGGAGCAGAGATGCCAATAAAGGGGATATGCCAATGCTATCATTGGCACTGTCCAGGCAAAACCCCTGTGCAGGTGATGCTGGGCCAAAGGGGGGGTGAGTGCCAGCTTGGGAATGGTGCTTGCAGGAGGTGCACAGGCAGCAGGGCTGCCTCCCAAACTGTTCAGCCCTGTCCCCAGGTGCCTGCAGGGACTGAGAGACACCCATGCTGAGGCTGAGTGCCAGAAGGGGATGCAGACAGGCAGCTGGGTGGGACATCTCCCCTGCCCTCACCAGCATGACAGCTGAGACAGGACCCTCTGCACAGCCCCCTTGCTCTGCATGTGGCCCCCTTGCTGCACCTCGACCCAGCCCCTCTAATGTTTTCCATGTGTTGGCACCTCCAGACCCCGGTGCTCTGTGCCAACAGCCCAACGAGATCCAGATGGAGCTGGGGGAAGTTCAGACAGCAGCAATGTGTGGAGCAGGGGGAGCAGAGCCAGTGCAGGATGGGGACCCACCTGGGTTCTGGGGCTGCCTGTGGACCCACGGTGCAGAGGGAGCCTGGACTGGGGCAGCCACAAAGGGTCCTTATGTGGGCTGTGTTGGAGGGAGCTGAGGCGGGCTGTGCCTTTCGCAGTGTGTTGTGTGCCACAGGCTCCCTGGTGCTCTCACTGGGTGCCCTGGTTGTGGGGCCGTGAGGGCTCCCCATGCTTGGCTCCATGAGGGCTCCTCATGCTTGGCTTTGTGGGGTTGCAGCCCCTCACTGTCCCTCATGAGCTCAGACACTGAGTGAGGAAGATGGGGGTCAGCCCACCAACTGCAGTGTGCTGCTGGCATGGCACTGTCCCTGCACCAGAGCAGAGCTCTCCACAGGCCAGGTAAGGCAGGTCAGCAAGTTGGGGAGGTGTAAGGAGCCTTGGACTTCCAGGCTCAGCCTGGACTTCAGGACTCTTGCCTGGACTTCCAGGTTCAGCAGCCACATCACCTCTCCCAGGTGCATCCCATGGCTTGTCAGCTCCAGCTGTATCACACTGCCATCATCTGCTGTGCTCTGGTCCCCAGCACCCAGCCCAACCAACACCCATTCTGATGTGTCACACAGTCACCCTTGTCATGTCATGGTCACCCTTGTCTCTGCTCAGTCCCCAGCATCGCATGGGCAGCTTTCACCACTGGAAACCTCTTCTTATCATCACCAGGTCCCAGTCCTCTGCCACTGTGGAAGGGATCAAGGCAGTGGTTGTCCAGAGATGCTGTAGAACATAGGCAATGTCCATCCCATAGCTGTGGCTCTAGTGTTGGCAAACAACTTACTAATTTCCCAGCATTGGGTGCTGGTTTGGAGACTGATGCCTGCTTGAGATGTAGCAGCACAGCAGCCAGAAAATGGGAGACAGCAGCTCTGGCCCCTGTAATCTGCCTGCTTTTAAACTCCAGAAGGTCCATGCATACTCCAAATAGAAGTTTGTTGCTGCTCTCTGGGAAACCCATAGATCTGTGGTCCCTGTGTGCCAAGCCCTGGTCCCCTTCCTTTGCTGGGGCTTGCCTGGCCAGGCAGTAGGGACACCCAATTCTGGTGACCAGGAGAGGCACATCTGGTCCTCATCACTGCATCCTGCTGCCCATGGCCCTGGAGGGTGACCCCTTTCCTCTCTGATGTCAGGAGTCATGACCTGCCACCCATTTGGCAGCTGAGATACCCAGAGCAGGCAGGGGTCTGCATGCCACCACAAAGTCCTGCCTGCCTGCACTGCAGCTTCCTGCTGGGATGCCCCATGGCTCAGCTCCCTGCCCCAGCAGCCTGTAAATGTGACACACAGGCCTTGGGAACCCAAAGGAAGCAGAAAATCCTGTGCTTTGGGGAATAAAGGTGCCTGGTGCCTGGTGCTGCCCTCCCCGTTGCCAAAGGGGAGGATGCACTGGTGCTGGACGTGGGCAAACAGGGCTTTCCTGTGGACTGAGAAGATGCAAGGGGAAGGCTGGGGTGAGCAGCAATCTGGACTAAAGCAGAGGGATCCAGATGCCAAAATCAACTTTGTCTTCAAGCTGTGGAGAAGAAAAACAGGAAGGGACCATGAGACCAGTCCCAGAGCCGGCACCTCCCTGTCCCACTGTGGGGCCAGGGCACTTCCTCCGGGCTCGGGCTCCCTGGTGGCTCACACAGCTGCTGAGTGAGCAGGAGCCTTCCTGCTGCAGGCTGGAGCCCTGCCTGGATGCACCCTGCCCCAAGTAGGCAGAGGCACATCCAAACTTGCCTTTGCTGCCGTATCCCACCCACCCCAGGGAGGATGCCGTGCCAAGATCGCCAGGGGAGCTGGTACAAGCCAGACCTGGGGATACTGAGAATGTGCCAGGTCAAAGCAGCCCATGGACTGCATCCACATGAGGCAGGGATGGGTCCAGCTTCCTGGCATGGAACAGGGACCAGCCCAAGCCCAGCAGGAAAAAAAAGTGCAGGAGAACATGGCCTGGGATGTACATGGTTTGAAAAATTTCCGTCAGCCAATGCTACACACCAGGGAGGGTCCCCAGCACTGAGACACACAGACACCCATATCCATTGTCTCCATCCAGCACAGGGCGAGCGGATCGTGTCTCAGGCAGGGGCTTGTTTGGGAAATCCATAACTTTGGCAAAAGCCTTTGCAGCAGGGCACTGGTTGTGGGCGGTTGTGCAGCACTGCCTGGGCTGTTTGACTGCCACCAGCCCTGCCAAATTTCTGAGCTGGCCCTCAGGATTAGCCTCCTCCTCTCCCTGCCTCGCTGCCAGGATCAGCCTGCATTTTGCAGAGGAGGAGGCGAGTTGCACAGGACTATGAAGCAAAACAGTCTCAACTTACCTCTCATGGCTGCTCCTGCTTCCTTCTGTGCCAAATCCAGAGCCAAGGAAAGAGGGAAAGGCAGCTTCAGGAGAACAGCCATGAAACATACATCTACCCATATGTGCCATGAGAGGATGCAGAGAGCAAAGAGTGCATACACAGTCAGTGGTTCAGCAGGGAGGGAAGGAGAATACATGGATTGAGGGAAGGAGACATGCAGATGTATATATGGGAGGGATATCTATCCCTTCCTCCTCAGAGGGAGGAAGGGATAGATGAATTTATAGATGAATGTATGGATAGGTATTTGGACACTCAGTTACCATCCCAAGCATCAAAGATGCTTGCTGTGCAGGGGCTGACTTGTGAAGAGGGATGAGAGGCCCATGGGCAGAGAGCAAGGATTGTGTTTGGGACAAGTCTTGGGTGTGACCTATGCACCCAGTCCTCATATAAATGGTATCACATGAGGAGACAGAGCCTGAACTGTCACCAGTTCAGGTCTTGAGAGTACTGGGGAGAATGTGGGCCATCTCCAGAGGGATTGCATCCCCCGCAGGAGCCACTTCCATCTCACACTGCCCAGACACTGAGAGAGCAGGAACAGCAGGGACTATGCCCACAGACACAGTGAATCCAAACATGAATGTTTTAAAATGAAGTGCTGAGTGTTCACCATGACCATGGCTTTCATCTCACCTCCATGTAGAGATACAAGACTGAACCCATTAGAGATCCCTGCAATCCCCCATACTTCTTCATCCTCTCTCCCTTTCTAGCTGCCACAGGCCTGAACATTCCTTGCTTTTCTTTCCTGAAACAGAAGAGGAGACATCACCTGCCAGGCCAGATGTGGAGAAGGGAGAGACCTGAGCTGCCTCTTGCTGCTGCGTTGTCAGCTTCTCCCTCCAGAAATGGGTTGTTTCTTTTTTTGCTTGCTGAGGCTGGCCCCTTCCCTGCCTCTAGGAAGCTTTTGGTGTTTCACAGATGGGAAATGCCAAGTGCCTGGCCACAAAGATGCTGGGAAGCAACAGCCAGCAGCATAGCTCTGCCCAAGCGCTGCTGCTTGTGATGCCCTTGGAAAATCGCTGCTCTCCTTGCTCCAAGCAGCAGCAGCAGCTCACAATTTTCCTGCTAGATTTTTCCTTTTTTCTCTTTTTCAGCCTGGAAACTGTCCTGGTGTCCAAGGAAAAGTTCCCAGTGTTTTGTGTTCTGCCCTGGAGTGTGGTGTCACTAGGGGACACGTGCTGTGTACTCCCCATGCACACATTTCTGAGCACTACATCTCCTCAGGACTGCCATGTTACTTGTTCAGAGGACATGATCTCCTCCCTTCCCCATGGCAGGAACTCCACCTTCTCCTCCAGCTGCAGGGACTAAAACAGAGCAGGACACACTTTGGGAGCTTCCTTGGGCAGCCTCTCTACCTGCTCTCCTCCCAGCAGCTGCACCTTTTCCTTCCCTTCCTTCCCTGCCACATCAGCTGCTTTGTCAGCATGGGCACAATAAACAAGAGGTTATGGACAGCTTGGCCCAGACCTCTGCAGAAACTTCTGAACGAGCTGGGGCATTCCAGTGCTGCCCATGTCTCCAGGATTCCATGGAGCAGGCACTGGGCAGACAGAGCTCTGTACAGCTGTGCCTTTGTCTGCATCCTGAATATGATGGGCCCCTGTTAAAGGTGCCTCTGGGAGTCTCCTGTGCTCTTGGTAGGGTCACATCACATTCAAGCAACTCCCAGCCTTTGTTCTCCACTGGGATATCCAGCAGATGTGGGAGCAGCTGAGCTCCACATGAGTTCCAGCACTGGCACCAGCAGAGTCACCTCTGTGCTGATGGATCTGGAGGCTGTAAGGTGCCAAAAGTGTCCAAGATCTGTCTGAGATCCCCTCCTGGGATGACGGCTGATCCCCAGGATGATCTGCAGGTCTTAAAGGCTCTGATTCCCAGGGGGAAGCTAACCTGGGAAGTTCTGATCACTAGAAATAAGCTGACCTGGAAGGCACTAATGCCAAAGGATGCTGACTCGGGAGGTGCTGATTGCCAGTGGAGAGCTGCAGATGCCAGCCTGGAGGGCACTGATCCCCAGGAGGATCCTAACCTGGAAGAGCGATACCATGCAGGATGACAATCTGGCAGGCACCAATCCCCAGGGGTTTGCTGATCTGAAGGGCACCATTTATCCAGAACATGGTGCTTTTTCCCTACTGCAGAGCACTTCTTTCATCTCCCCACTTTCACTGGGCAGCAGCTCAGCCATGGTACTCTCCAAGGCCTTGGGCTAGGAATCCACAGCCAAGATCCTCTCCAAGGGGTGGGTCACGAATCTACAGCCAGGGTCCTCTCCAAGGCCTTGGGCTAAGGATCCACAGCCAGGCAGGCATCCATGGCTGGCGGCAAGGAGTCTGGCGAGCCTCCTGGGGGAAGCTGAACCAGCAGCACCTATTCCAATTTCTCTCCTCCCCAGAGCTCCCAGCTGGGAGCCATTGCCCAGCTGTGGGCAAGGGTGCGTGCGGCTCCCAGCTACTGCCAAAATAACCACGAGCCGCGTCCTCCTGCAGGGGAGATACACAGACTCTGTTTTCCCACTAGATGGCAAACATCGCCTTCAAAAACAGCCTTCGGAGAAATCGTGTCCATCCCTCTGAGAGGAGGCTGGGAAAACGATCAGGTAAAAGCCCTGGGGGTGACGGGCCTGAGGCTTCTTCCGCGTGGGGCTGGGGGTGGCAGGGACCCTGGCATGCTCCTCATCTTGCTTTTTCTGTTATTTCTGAAGTGGTTGTCCTTTCCCACCTGCCTGGTTTCTCCCTGGTCCTGGAAAAG